CTAAGCTTGCCTATCTCTATAATGTACTGCCCCTTCCACATGGGATGAAATGTTCCCAAAGCCTTTTCAGAAAACATTTTCCTAGCCCTTAATTAATAAGTTAATAAGTTGGACAAGAAGACCTCCAAGATCCCTTCCAACTCTGTTATACTGTTATTCTGGTAACACAATACGCTAAACCTTGAATTATTGCATCTGTAGTCTTGAACAGTATTCTAAGTGGGGAGAATAGCCACTGGAGAAATGAATAATTTTAAGAGATACAGTAAATCTGGGGGGGGGGGGGGGGGGGGGGGGGGGGGAGAAGTGACCAAGACTGAAGAACATACCAGGAACTAGTTCAGGGGTAGGCAACCTGGGCTCTTTTATGACTCGTGGACTTCAACTCCCAGAATTCCTGCCATGCTGGCTCAGGAATTCTGGGAGTTGAAGTCCACGAGTCATAAAAGAGCCAAGGTTGCCTACCCCTGAACTAGGTGAACTCTTTCACTTACTGTATCCTTCTTGATAAGAAATCTTATAACAGGCAACACGGTACATATTCTACCAATGTGCAAGTGAAAAGGCAGCTCCCTCAGGCAAATGACTGTCAAAATTTTCTTTCCCTTTTCTCTTTGCTTCTTGGTTTTCGAAAATCCTTGCTCTTCCCTTCAAACAATATGGATTTGTCCATTTTTATCTCAGCATCCCATTGTATATATCACTGCCTCTAAGTTTTGCCATTTTAAATATATTACTATTGGACTTTCAGTTCCCCTTCAAATAGCCAGTTGCAAAGTATTTATTTTAAATACCTTTAACATAACAATTTTGCAACTCTTGAGAGGAACCAGGGGTATACAGGCAGCCGCGTCAAGCCAATTCCAATAGCAACTAGTCATGCAACATCGGAATGGGGAGGCATGGATAATTATTTCATGCTGGGCAGTTGTCCAAGTCTAGAGTAAGTAGCTCTGGCACATGGAGACATTTAATCTCCATGCGCCAATTCAGAATATAGGAAAAGGAGTATTTGTGATTCTCCCAAATCCATTCTCAGATATTAGTATCTTTTTTGCAAAGTGTTAAGGTTAAGGAATCAATTATTAAATTTCAATTCTATTATTACTGTTTTGTTTTTTTTACTGAATTGCAGGCTTGGGGATTGTTGCAAATTTGAATGCACAGCAATGTAAAAGTTACTTTAAGCCTTTCTTTGAAGGCCATTCCTGTAGTTGAAGTTCACCCCTGCTGAAAGATTGATTATAGATGTCTGCTGTAGCTTCAGCATACTTTGTACAAGTAATCAAATTTGACAAGATCAAACCAACATTCTCCATGTTCTCCGTGTTCCACATCCTCTGTAAATGCACTTTTGAAATTTCAAGTGCAAGTTCCTGGCAGATGTAAATGTCAATAGCTACTAACTTAAAATGTATTTATATACATGCCTTTTAACTTTAAATGATATGAATGAACCTATAATATAAAAACAATATAGTTTATCCATAATGCATTAGAAAAAAAAAGAAAATTCTCATAAATTAGTCCAAAACGTCTGGAACTTTTACAACCTACAGGGAAGAAGAAATAAATGAAGATGAAAAAGATTCAGGAGAGGTAGTAGGTGGTAGTTTCCAAATAAATATGTTTGTTTTTTTTTGATTGAAAACAAAAGTGTTATGCCAGTCACATTCTCTCATGTTATATCTTTTTAGAGAAAATTCTGAAATTTCATTCTGAAATCTGAACTTTGTACTCACAGGTTAATGACTAGAAAACCCAGTATTTATGCTTACAGTGGGTTTTACAAATATTAAAAAAATAGGATGTTATTCCTCTATTAACATTACGTATAGCCTATTGGTAATTATGCAATGTCCTCTGCATTCTTTTAAATGGGACCAGAAAAAATAACATTTTTACTATTTTATTTTAATATAGAAAATGAATATTTCCCTTTCACATTCCAAGTAAAATTGGAGGCAAAAAGACTATACAACCTTTCTAATTAAAACACATCAAACATTGCTTTATATTAAGCTATGATGTTGTGCCAACACCCCGTCCTCAAATGGTGTAATAATGCATCCTTTAGGTGACAGCCAGGAATTCCATTCTTTCTATTTATCTGATAGCAGAAGCTCAGCAAGGAGACACGCCATGTCCTTATCTGTTTCTCTTCTTTTTTCACAGGGAGCTTCATTTTAATGCTACTTATGGCAGGTTCCATCAAACTTTTTATCACAGCACAGAGTTCATACTGAAGTATATTAAGTCATTTGTTTCTTTATAAAGCTGAGCCCTATATATGAGTATAAATGCCCCGACCAAACGGGCCACGTCGGACTGGTGCTTCAATTTGCTGTGCTTTCATGGCATTCAGTCTATCTTCTTCACTTGGGAAGGTGTCAAGATGGCGAGCAATCTTCTGAAATTTTGGCATGTGCCATTGTGAATCTACCTTCATAGGGATTTGATATTTATTCAACATTGTCATACGGGTCTCGTGTGTTTTCTCTCGTTTTTTCGAACGTTTCTTCTGCTTAAGGTGCATGTCAGCTTTCCGATGCTCTTGCAGCCACTGGTCACCAAACTTATGCTGAAGGATCTCTGTTATGGGTATAGGAGGAGGATATGGCTTCCCATATGTCATAGCATCGGGAAGACAAAGTGCAGCTTTGGGGAAGGTTTTGGCAGCAGTCGTTTTGCAGTGAAGCTCATGGTGCTGGCAATACAGATGGTGTTCTTTTGCAGTGAAAAGACCAGCCTTAATTCCCTTACTATGCATGTGAATAAAATCTTTGGGTATTTCTTTCCTTCTGATAGCAAGAGGTGGCATAACCTGCCAGTGCCCTATGGCTTCAGGGACTCCTCCATCAGTCCCACGCGCACTTAGGCCATATACAAAATTGGCTCCTGGAATCTTTGCGCACCTTCTGCGGGTCCTTCCTAGCTCTGGCTTTAAGATAAGGGGGTTCTGGAACATGCTATCTCTGACAAGTCCAATTCTTTCATTTTCTGTCCCTGGTTGAATATCAGCTTTGGTCAGCGGCAAAAGCGGTGGTGGACAAATGTCACTAACACTAGCCCTCTTGTTTAATTTCTCAAGGTACCTTTTCACAAATGTACTCATTACTGATCACCACAGTAAAATTGATGCTTCTGCTTTCAGATCTGTCTTCACAAATATTTGATCCAGGTGTCTATAGCTGAGTATAGCATGAAGTGTGACATCATAAACTATGCAAAAGTTATTGTTTGCAATTTACCATGTCATCAAGCCTGATTCATAACTTCTAAGTTAGTCAGTAAAAATAACACATCTCTGTTAGCCAGTAAAAATAACACATCTCATATAAACCTTAGAGAGTGGAAGGGAGCCCATAATCAAGCTAAAGAGCCACAGGAAGCCATTTTATTTCATCTTCATTAAAAAAATAGATTTATTAGTTCTGTTTCTGGGGGAAAGGATCCTTTGTCTCTAGATTTTTTTTATACCTTCTAACTTTTGCACAGGTAGACTCCATAGTCAGTGCTAATGCCCACTGGCTTCAAATATATATACTCTATGTATCTCAAATATCTGAAAGCCCATCAGATAGAAGGGATTTATAACTATAGTCCTATTATGTTGTCTACATTTTCCCCCAATCAGACTCTTGGATCCAAGATCAGACTCTTGGATCACCTAAACCAGCATTACCCACCTAACAGTCTTCAAGAACTCAGCTGAGGGCACCATATTAAGAAACAATGTTTTGAATTAAAGCTATTGAGACCAAATTAAATCAGACACCAATAAAATAGAAATACAAATGTGAATAAAAAAATATTGATAAATGTTCATATTAATGATTTCAGCAATATAGTTTTTGAAATCCCAGTATACAGTTATAAAGTAATTAATTGTGATAGCATAAATATGACACCTTAAAAACCATTTCAGCTTTTTAAATCATATGCTTCCAAGTCAAATATGCCCTGTAAGATCTGAAGTCCAGGGGGGGAAAAGGGAATCAGCATATACAGTTTTCTGCTTGACTACATTTTGTTCTTCAATTCAAATAGCATATTTAATGCATGTTTCAATATTAAGGAAATGGAAAGCTCTGCAGATAGGAAAACAAATCCTAAATCCTCTGCTTTGGAGGGGGGAAGGATTTTTTTTTTATAAAGCATTTCTTCACTGTATAAGATTTTTAAGGGATTATTTACAAGAATCATAGAAAGCCAGTGACAAGATTACTTCTTTATCCTAAAAGCATCTACACCTCTTTTACTGGATCAATGCCATAGCCATGTAAAGGGGAGGGCTTTAAAACTGTTTTTCCAGCACTGTTTTCTCGATCCAAAATTCTTTCATCCTTATAAACTGCCATTTGGCTCCCCACCCCACCAAAATCTTGCAGGCTTCGAGGTAGCAGAGCTCCAGAGCTGCAATTGTTGTGAACTCATTTAATAAGAAGCACCTTCTGCAGAAATCAATTGAGCTTATTTCAAGAAAGGCTGTTTAAGACCCTGGTGTACTATGAAGAGAGAGGGGGGGGCACAAGCCTAGTAAACTATTTCTAAAATTAAATTTGCCCCCTCTCTTCCTCCTTTCCTTGATCGATCAACCGTTTAAAGTAAGTCAACATGATTTACGCTATGCTTATACATGCTTCATTAAAAAAAACCTTTAAAAAACCCTCGAAGGAAGCTGCTGAAATCATAAGCCCTTTTTCCCTCTCGCCCTTCCCCACTTCTTCCACCCACCTCCCCCGCCGAATTGTAGCGCAAATATTCGGGGGTTGCCAAAGGCCATCCAGTTCAACCCTTATTTATTTATTTTATTTATTTATTATTTAAATTTATATACCGCCCTATCTCCCTTACGGGACTCAGGGCGGTGAACAGGCAATACTAAAAATCACAATAAATATTGAACATTGAATATTGAACCCTGCTCGAAACCCCCGCCCCCGCCCCCTCGTCTGCATCATTTATCCCCCTTTACCCGACAAAATCCAAATTCTCACCGTATCTTTTGAAGTTCCCAGTTTTTTCAGTCCGTCCAAGGGCAGCAAGTCGGCGGAGTCCTTGTGGTTGAACTGGACGGCCTGCTTCATCCTCCTCTGCTGCCGGAGGGCTGCGGCTTCCCTCACGTCCATGTCCTTCCTATCGGTCAGCAGCCCCGAGTAAAACATCTTGCCGGCTCCCTTCGCGCCGGCCGGGCCTCCGCCTCCCCTCGGCCAGCTACAGCGCCAGCAGCCACCGCCGTTGCTGCTGCTTCCGAGGGGACGCCTGGGCGGGCTTTTCTCGGGAGCACTTTATAATAGCCGGACAAGCCTCCCCCCCCCTCCTCCGCCCGCGTGACGAGCGCCAGCAGCAGGTGCCCCCGCCGGTGCGACGGCGGCTGCAGAGCCAACGAAGGGCTGGGCGGGCGTCGTGCGGGAGGTCGCTCGCCCCCGCGCGCCGGCCCGAGACGCGGGGCTGCCCGCTGAGCAGAAGCAGAAGCGGGCATCCCCGGGAAAGCGAGGCGGGCGCCCGGCTTTTTTTGGCAAAAGCCACAGGCATCGGCCGCGGCGCGGCTGCTGTTCCAGGGCGGAAAGGAAGCTGCTTTTGACTTCTATCTAATGGATGTGACCTCTTTTATTTAAAAAAAAAGGTGGAGGGGGGGAATTACGGTGGGTATGATACGAATATGCTGCCTATCAAGCGAAACCCGGCAGCTGTAGATGTATAACGAGTAAGGCTAGATTGGCGAGATGGCGCCTTTCTGGCTGCAAACATATACATGCATGCATGCATGCATGCATGCATGCATGCATACATACATACATACATACATGCATACATACATACACACCGTAGGTATCATTTAAGGCCCTTTAAACAGCTAGCAGTGTTTCTCAACCTTGGCCACTTGAAGACGTCAGGACTTCAACTCCCAGAATTCCCCAGCCAGCCCTGCTGGCTGGGGAATTTTGGGAGTTGAAGTCCTGACGTCTTCAAGTGGCCAAGGTTGAGAAACACTGCAGAGCATTTGGACATGCATCTGTAGGCAGGTTTAGGGCCACATAACTCCCCCTTCCCCCCCCCACACCCCTAAGGTATCATGCAGGTTTAGGAGCCACCTAACCCATCCTCCACTTTTGCTAATCTTTCTAATCAGTGGGATCTTTGTATGGGATCCCTTGGGGATGAAATGTCTGGTTTCCTCATATGGCAGCGATTAGAGGGGAGAGGGAGGGAGGAAAGTTTAATCTCATTCTGAAATACTGATTATTAATATATTAGCCGTTTTTTTCCACAAGGTCATCATTTTCCGTAACGACTGGATATTACATAGGTTTGTTTGGTCTGCCCTATCTAGATTGTTGGTAAAGATACATGCCTTTTTGTAATGTTCTACTTAAGAAAAACTCTGGAATGGCGACCTTTCTCAGCCAGGGCTTTCCATTTCTTACCTATAATTGCTTATAAATTATTTTGATTAGAATAGTAAAAATTATTATCTATACACTACTAAAACTCTCATTGTGTTTATCTGTTTGTGTATTTATCTGTAACCCTCAAGTTAGCCAAAATGATGCAATATACTGAAATGATTTTTCAATCAAGATACCTCAAATTTGCTAAAGAATAATTGCAATATATGTAAAAAAAAACAAAACCCAACTGGGACCCATTACTCCGGTGGAGGTGAAATTTCCACGATGTTCAGGGCAGTTTTATTTGCAAAGTTGTGAATGTTTTAGTATCCCAACAGTCATGTGATCATGATTTCTGTGTTCCCTGCCAGCTTCCCACAAGCAAAGTCGATGAGGAAACTGGCAGGAAATCAGAAGATGCTCCTGCTACTTTTTTGCTTGCCCATGATCTTTCTGTTCCTCTGTTTAGATCTTATCTAAATTATAATATATCATAGACATATGTCATAAGATAGTATATCTTATTATATCTTATTTAGATATCTAAATTATGGTATATAATATATCATAAATAGAAGAATAATAATTATTTTTCTATTTATGATGTATGCTGGTCTTAGATAAGCATAGGACAGTTCAGCATTGTTGTAAAAAACCAAATATATTCGGTCTAAAACTTAATGTTAATTCTGGTCACATCAGACTGTATTTACCTTTCTCTCATAGGATGATCCAATGGGTCCCAGAGTTGTTTAGTACAAACTAAATTTAAAGAATAAAAAACAGTAAGAAAGAATACAAAATGTAAGAAAAAAGAGAAAAGAAAGAATATGATAAAGAAAAAGAAAATATATAAAGAAAATATTTCCCACCTTCATTACAACAGCATAGACATAAGAATTAACTTCTTGACCCTTTATAATGTTATAAATGGATACCTCTTCATCCCATATCCCATCACTTATCTATAAGCATATCCATAGAATACCTTTTCAGTCCTGGTGTCAGCAAAAAGTCCAGAGTTACCAGAGCTTTGCAAATAGTCTTATTTTAACCATGATCAGATAAACCAATGCTGTATTCCTTTCTTTTACTTCTAACAGTCTTAATCGTTTTATTCAAATATTGTCATGGGATTTGATTTTTCTTTAATTCTTCTTGATCCTGTTTCACAGACTTCTTCAAGGGTATAACAAACCTCTTTTGTAGTTCCAATAAGAAAACCTTTTCCAGGACATTTTCTTGGTTTTTCATTTTTGTTTCTCCTTTTTAAACTTTCAGATGGTTTCTTTGGTATATCCATTTTTTTTGTTTACTTCTGCTTTTATTGTTTTTAATGGTTTTAATAACTATAATGGTTTTAGGTAATGATTTCTCAAAAATATTGTTTTATTAGTTATATGCTGCCTCAGAGTCCCTTTCCATGAGATGGGCAATCATATAAATTTGATGAATAAATGTGTCCTTTTCCAATAATTCTCTTGATCCATTATGAATAGTTCCAATTTTGGCACTTTCTGTCTTGTCAGACAAAATCTGATCCACATCTTTCACTCATTCATTAACATCTTTTGGACATAGTCTATCCATAGGATCAGACATCATTACTGACACTGTTGATATTGTAACTACTAATTTCTAGCTCCATTTTTCAAAGATCTTTAATATTTTCAATGTTATGATGTTTTGTCTAATTTTGTAACTCCCAGTTAACCAACACAAAAAACTGGATTATATATTTTTTCTTTCTACTTAGAATCTTTAGTCCCCTCTAGTGTCTAGTTTCTAAGATCATGTTGCTTACCTTTGTTATGAACCACAATAGACAAAATCACTCTTGTTCCTACAAAAAGCTATTTATATTTTATAGTTAATGCAAAAATCTTATAAAATTCAATAATCCAAATTTAGCTAGACCTTTAATCCATTTGTAACTTTCTTAGATCAAAATCCTATTTGGCTTTTGCTTTTTATTTCAAATGCTTCAGGTTCTTAAATTTATAATTAATTTTTATTTTATTGAAGCTAAACTCACCCAATGACTATTCAAACCTATCATTTCAAAGGTCTCCAGTAGCTTTAAGATGGTTAATGGGCAATTTCTGAAAGTGATTAAAAAGTGAGGACTTAGTGTCCTTTAAAAAAGATAGAACACAGTTGTGAACAAGATGGCTAATCCTGTCATCTCTCATTATTCAACCCTATGGGAGATAGCTGTCCTGCATCTCCTCTTGAGAAGCATGCTGTCCAGAGCACATATGGGCAATCTCCCGCCCTTTCCTTATCCAGAGAGGTTTGAAGGAACCTGTCTTCTCCCCAGTTCTCTGGTCTTTGCCACAGTCATCAGTTCCACCTTCATGAAGACATCTTTATTTCACCATGCATCCTCTGGAAGCCCTCAACTGGGGCATCCCAGATGAGTTGTGTGACAATCTCTTGTTACTCCTGAGAAGCATAAATATTCTCATTACATATTCTAGGGATTGTAGTCGATCACAAGGAGTTCAAGCTATGGAACATTTATCTGTGCAATGACTGGTATAATTAGAAATATACAACAAAGTAGATGACCAAATAATGGTGCAAAATGTCTATAAATGACAGTACTATTTTCTGTTTATTTAGCAAACAGATAAAAAGAAAAGCAGCATGTAGCAGAAACAATCCAGGAAAAGGATGAATTCTGAGGAGGGAAAGGGAAGTATGTTTCCTTGATTAAGATGGTTATCATTTGTAACCCTGCAGTGCCCTTCTGTCCAAAATCTGGACTACAATTATTTTCAAATCCATCATGGATTTTTAACCATATCTTCCCACACTCTTTGCATAGCTTCAAGCTATCTGCTCTGTTTAAGTGTTGAGTTTTAAAAATTATACTTATTTATTAAATGTATGCCACCCATTTTGCTGTCAAATGAATCTACGCAACTTACAAGATAAAAATAATAATATAAAACATTAAAAGGGTAAATATTAACAAAATTAATAAAGGTAGCTAAGCAAGGAACCAATTTTCAATGGGGGGAGGTAGAGGTGGAATCTTAATCTCTAACCACCAACAACCCCAATGGGACCCCAGGTCAAACAGCAAAACCAGGTTTTAATGCCTTTCCAGAAGGCCAAGAGGGTGGGGGCGGATCTCACCTTGAGGGGCACAATGTTCCAGGGGGTGGGAGCCATGGCAGAAAAGGGTTTTCTCCTGCCAGCTGAATATGAACCATGGTGGCACAGTTGTTAGAATGCGGTATTGCAGGCTAATTCTGCTCACTGCTAGCAGTTTAATCCTCACTGTCTCAGGGTTGAGCCTTCCATCCTTCCGAGATCAGTAAATTGAGCACCCAGATTGTTGGGGGAAATATGCTGACTCTGCGAACCACTTAGAAAGAGCTGTAAAGCACTATGAAGCAGTATGTAAGTCTAAGTGTTATTGCTATTCAGTTGCATTTCATGCTTCTAACTTTCTGCTATATAGATTCGCTGTTTCCTCTTTTAATTTAGACCAGTGATGGCGAACCTTTTAGAGACCGAGTGCCCAAACTGCAACCCAAAACCCACTTATTTATTGCGGGTGCCAGGTGGGTGTGACCTACTGGGTGGGCGTGGCTGTGGTTTCATGGCAGACTGGGTGGGTGTGGCCAAGGTGGGCGTGGTCACCTCGATGTTGCTCGTGGGGAGGGACGCCTGTGGGGGCCGGGAAGGGTTGGGGGAGATCCAAGAGGTCTCTGGCAGGTGGGGTGATGGGTAGGAGGCTCGTCCTGTGTGGTGAGGTGAGG